CTGAAGAGTCTAAGTTGAGAAAGTTCAATGAACTTACATTCATATAATCATTTCTTTTTTAAAACACCTGAAGAAAAAGGTCTTGAAGACATACAGTGCTGAGGCAGGTGTTTAAATTGTCCTCTGGTTTGAAGTTTCAGTCCTGTTTTTGTCGTAGGTCTCAGGTCATCTGGCACTAAACATTATGCTGATCCATGAGTGGATGGTGGTTGACAGGTCAAAGCAGAAAGTTAGTGTCCAACACTTAAACTGATGGGACATGTCTTGTACTACTTACTCCAAATATGAAACAGGGGAAAAACTAATAATTTTAAAATTTAAACTAATCGTGGGGGGTGTGGGGGGGGGGCATGTTTAGTCAAATAAAAAAATATTTCCATGAGAAAACAAGGCTTTTTAAAAAACTTAAATGAAGGAGAAAAAATTGTATTAAAAAAAATCAAATAAAAACATTAACTCTTCCTGAGAACAATCAGAAAAAAAAATAAAAATAAAAAAAAACAATTACTTGTTCCTCAGTGTGCAATTAAATGTGTGTGTGTGTGTGTGTGTGTGTGAAGGGCAGACAGGGACAGGGCAATCAGTCCTGATTTACTTGGCTTTTTTGTCAGTATCCCTGCAGTCCATTATAAATCTTTTGAGATGGTGCCTGTTTCAGAAGATGTCTTATACCTGAGGGAAAAAAAATTGTTGAATTTATTAACTCCCAAATGCACAAAAACATCCAGAAACACCACAGTAGTCACACAGAAGAGGGACAGTTTTAAATAAATCCCATTTTAATATTCTCTAGATGTTCTCTTACCATCTTTCTGTTGGTCATCAAGCTGCTCCTTTGGGAAATCTACATCAAAGGTGACTATGAGCGATCCACGGATATTGTTGTTGTCAAAATTTGGTAGGCCCTCACCCTTCTTCCAAATACGCGCTCCTGGCTTAGTGATTTTATCTCTCACAATGTGCACCTACAAGACCACAAGATAAGTCTCTGTGAGTTTGTGAACAGCCTTATCTTATACAGCAAATACAACGACACATGACAACAGGAGGATATTAGGGATGCACATTATTTTGTGTTATCAACCAATCATTTTTAAGTAATCTGTACCTGTCAAACTAATATTTATTAAGTTATGAATATTAGTTTTATGTTGGATATCCACCTTAATGGTGCATGTCATCAGAATGAGTTGCTGTGCATGAATGCATGTACATGACGTGAAAAAACTTTAAATTTGATAAAGTAATTTAAACTGAATTATATATATATATATATATATATATATATATATATATATACACACACACACACACACACATGTGTGTATATATATAATAAATCATGTACATGCCAAATTTTACATTTTAAAATTGTGCATTCTAACATAACCATAAATCAAGTTCACAAAAAAAAACAGTAAATCTATTGAAAGTAAAATCTGGGAAATTAAACATGCCTTGTGGCCATCTAAATGAGTGATGTCCATCTCAAAACCGACCAGAGCCTCTACCAGAGAGATGGTGACGTTTGTGTAAAGGTCGTCACCTCTGCGCTCAAACAGAGGATGCCTGGACAAGAACAAATTTACATTTGATAAACTGAAACACAGTTTTAAGTCTCACTCTTTCAAACAGGTGCATTCATTGAAAGTATACATACATTAAGAGTTCAATTAGTTGTTCTTATCACAATAATATAATATTACTTTACTCTTACTTCAAAACTTTGATGCGGAAACGCAGATCTCCAGGCTCACCATCAATGTGAGGTTCACCTGTGGTCAGTCAAACAACAGATACACACTTGATAAATCATATGTTGCAGTATCGAGCTCATTCATAAAATGAAGTGTTACTGCACTGAGTTATCTGTAGAATTATTTCCTATACCTTCCCCAATGAAAGGGTATTCCATCTCATCTCTCACACCCTGCTCGATCTCCACCTCTAGTGTTCGCTCCTCATTCACAAGCCTGGAAACAATGATACAGTGTTTAATAGAAAATCATGAACCGTCTTGGTGAGTCAAAGTGAGAGTGATTATCAGGCAAACTTACTTGATGTTGGGGCATTCATCACAGACTACTTCCTGTGTCATCTGGAAGCGACCTGGTCCTAGCTGTGTGGTTCTCATTTCCTGCCGGCAGTTGCATTTTCTTTTGCCTGGCGCTTCTTTTGATACAGGTTTGTTTCGTACCACCTACGTGTTGAAGAAGAGGAAACACAGGAAAGACAGGAAATTACTGTACATTACCATGTACACTGCCAAACAAAAGCCTATAAAAGAACACAGAAGGTCTGAATACTACAGTACATCAGGAAGGAAATGGAGAGGGATCAAGAACAAAAAGAAACTCGCCTCCACAAAATTCCCTGAATACACCTCTTCTAGGGTTACTTCAAGGTCCAGTACGATGTCATTACCCCTGGGAATATCCCGGCCGGCCGGCTGCCTATTTCCACCGAACATAAACCCAAAGTCGCCGAAGAAACTTGAAAAATAACAACAACAAAAAACATGAATATCAGTGCAGTCACATAGTCTAGATTGAATGTGCAGTTACAGTGACAACATTTGTGTTTCAAACAGACATGCTTCTGAAACTAGATAAACAACTATGCATCAGACTTTTGAAAATCTATAATACAAGCTCATATTTGACAAATCATACAATGTTCATTGGAAAAACTCACAAAAATATCAGCAGTTAACTGTTAAATAAAATGTTAATTAGGTGGGTGCCATCTTAATATTGTTTACCTGGAGAATATATCACCATGTGAACTTTGATGGCCTTCCTTTAACCCCTCCTCTCCATATGCATCATACTGTTTCCTTTTCTCCTCATCTGAGAGCACCTGCGTTTAAAAAAGTACCATAAGAAAATATGTTTTTCCAGGGTAAAAAGACTAATTAACTCACTTATAGCCAATGTCAGAAATTAACTTTGCCCCCTGAAGTTGTTCTTCTACCTTTATGAGATTATTTTATTTTTTGAAGAACCAATGACACTTTAGTGTATAAAGCCATGATTAGATATTATGAAATATACAAAATGTTAGATAGCAGATAAATAACAGGAATTTTTGCCACCACATTTTAAATAGCTGGGGTGTTTTTGTAGCTTTCTGTATTGTTTTTGGCCCAGGCAAGCAACCCTGGTTTAATTTCTAATTTCTTTCTTTTAATCATCCGGCTGAAAAAACACCTCAGATGTACAATCATAATCATATTATATACTCCTCCTTAATTTAACCATCCATAATTGAATATATAAATATATTTATTTAAGTCTAATTATTACTGTTGCATGTTATATTTAAAATATGTATTTATATATGAAAAAGTATACTTTTAAAATCCTTTACAAAATTGTTTATGTTACAATGAAGTCGACCAATGATTAATTTCCTTTAAACAATAAATAATTTACAGTGTAAAAATTAAACTTTGTAATATTGTAGCCTACAATGTGCACAGGCTACACTAGCGGTCTACGTCACAAATCATATGAATGACAATAAGCAGATGTTTCAACCAATCAGAGGCGGACACACATTTCTTGCTACCAATCAAATCGCTCCATCGGTTCGTTTCTAACAACAACGCTCATGCTGGTCATCATATTCACTGGCATTATACTGACGTTTTGTTCAGAAATAATAAATATGTCTAGCGATGCTTTAGTGACACAAAGCATAGCCAGTTCAATTATTTGTATTATAGTTACGCCTAATATTTGCATGAAAACTAAGTCACATCAATTTTAAAAGTAAAATTGGGTTAAAATTGTCTTTGTTCAACAAATGAAGCGTAGTCAAAACGAATAAAAAGCCCCACGTGAAACTACTTAACATAAACAGCCATACCTCGTAAGCAGCTCCAAGGTCTGCAAATTTGTCTTGGGCATTTGGGTCATCTTGGTTTCTGTCTGGATGAAGCTGCAATGCCAGCTTTCTGTAGGCTTTCTTAATATCTTTAATTGATGCTGATCTACTAACCCCCAAAATTTTGTAGAAATCCCTCCTGAAAATACACATTATTTTAGAACATTTTAATCATACATCAGTTCATACATTCAAATTATTGATGAGCAGATACAGCTACATGGATACGAGGAAATCAGACAAGGCACAATAAAAGCTTCAGATATTTCTAAAATGTATATAAACATGTGGCATCGTCGATGACAAGCTGCAGCCTTGTTACAGCCATTATCGATAGGTAACGTTATTTAAAAACTAAAAATAAAACAATGTCCTATTTTAATAAAAAAAACACTCCAGGCTTTAAATAAACGCATTCAATTACAATAAATAACGAGGTTATATAAAGTAGTTTATGGCGAGATTCACCAGCTTGATGCATGAACAGTGGCGTAGACCAATCACAGTGAAACATGTGTACCAGCCAGAGTAGTGAGTTTATAATGCACTGAACCTCAACAATGAAAATAACACGATATTCACTTACCCAGCCAGCACTGTCACTATCAAATATAAAAGCAGAAAACACACACTCGACAGTTTCATTCCTCTAACAGCCATGGGTAGTTGTTTCTTTCAGAATTCCAATAAAACACACCGGCTTTCTGTGATGTCTATCAAAAAGCCTCTTCCTGCTCTGTCACAAGTCCCGCCTCTTTTTAAAAAGGAAGTTTTATAAAAGTTCTATCGAAAAAAGTCTCACTGAGTCAAGAAAACGTCGTTATGTTATGTTATGTTATGTTATGTTATGTTATATTATATTATATTGTATTATATTATATTATGTTATGTTATGTAGAACAGTAAACAGTAATATTATATTACATTATATTATATTATATTGCATTGTATTGTATATTGTTTATATTGTATTATATTATATTATAAATTCGACAGAATATCACACAAGAGCTACTACTAAATATAAGATGGAACTTTATTTATTTGAATTTATACTTCACTCAAATACTTATATTTTATTTTATTATCACTATTTCGTTCTGCACGCAACTTTTATTTTGTTTTCATAGACGTACAGAGAGGTTACACAGTGTAGTTCCGGAAAGAAATGGCATCTTTGGATAGGGTGAAAGTGTTGGTCTTGGGAGATTCTGGTAATAAATATTAACTAAATAATCTATCGACCTTCATTTCTCTAACCTATAATGTGAATGTAAATTTAAAATGTAAGCGTGTTGTATAATATTCGACTCAAGCTGGAGGTATTAGCCTGCCACATTAGCTTGGATTTCTGCAATACTAGTATTATATTTACTTTTATTAGAGAATATCTATCACGAGGAACTTTATCCACTTAGATGTTGTACATAAATACTTTGTGAGCCTCGATATGTGTCCTCTGATCAGTGTTATTTCTTTTGTCTGTTGACAGGAGTAGGGAAGTCCTCTCTTGTACATTTACTTTGCCAGAATCAAGTTTTGGGGAATCCTTCATGGACTGTAGGCTGCTCAGTGGACGTCAGGGTACAGTGAAAATTATCAGTAATTATTAAGTACCATTATTAATTAACTGTGTCATTATCATAGCAAAATCTGTCTTGATTTTTTGCACAGGTACATGACTACAGAGAAGGCACTCCAGACGAGAAGACGTACTACACTGAACTCTGGGACGTTGGAGGATCTGTTGGCAGTGCCAGCAGTGTTAAAAGCTCTAGAGCTGTGTTTTACAATTCTGTAAATGGTATGAGGCACAACAATTTAAAGTTGTATGTTCATGTGCACAAAAAGAAAAAAAATGCAATGACACGTCTTTAATGCTAAATCACTATGTTTGTCTTTTTTCTGCAGGTATTATTTTAGTTCATGATCTGACCAACAAGAAATCCTCCCAGAATCTGTACCGCTGGTCACTGGAGGCGCTGAGCAAAGACTCCTCTCCAACTGGCATCATTGTATCAAATGGGTGAGTCAAGGTTAACTTCTGATTCTGTTAGAATGATTGCATCAAGCATTTCTTCAGCTGAAATACAATGCTTATATTTTACGGTAAATAAATCAGAATACAGTGAGCGAATATTTGATTATGTCTATAATTGCCTAGATATGCTGAAATAAGTTAATTCTGGATGTTTTGCACTTGCAGAGATTATGATAGAGAACAGTTTGCAGAGAACTCAGTTCCTCTCCTGCTAATTGGCACCAAATTTGATCAGATCCCGGAAAACAAGAGGAACGATGTCCTGACCCGCACTGCCTTTCTGTCTGAAGACTTTAATGCGGAAGAGATTAACCTTGTGTGTGCCTTTTAGTGCTGTTATAATGTTTTTACCTAAACTTATATAATATTTAGCCACAAAAAAAACAAAATATGTCCATTATGCATTCTGAGCTTTTTCCTGCTTTTCTTCTCAGGATTGTACAAATCCACGGTATCTTGCGGCCGGATCATCAAATGCTGTTAAATTGAGCCGTTTTTTTGACAAGGTAGTGACTTTAATTAAACTAAAGTCTGTATTTCCTTTCTGACCCTAATGATTCTCTGTCATTTTGTGAGTACATGTCTGATGGCAGTGTATTAGCATGTACAATAGCATATACATTGTGAGTAAACACTTCTTGTGTCTCTCTTAGGTAATAGAGAAGAGATACTTCACAAGAGACCCTAGCCAGGTGAGTGTGTGCTTTTCTTTGTTTACATGTGACTCAGTTTGTGTAGCCACAAATGAGCATATTTGAAATAATGTTGTTTTGCAGTAGTTTTAGAGAATTACTTATAAGATTATTAATCAAATTGCAGATGTAATACATTTATAATTAATTTGATTGTAGATTAATTATTTTGTTAATTGGCAACCTATTGTTTTCTTATTTTTTTCTCCTAAGATGCAGAGTTTCACAGACAGGAGGCGCTTTAATTTCAAGAGTCTGCACAGTGATTGAGTGTACACATATACTTTAGATTGGTGGGTTTAGTCCAGTTTGTAATCTGAATAAGCATATGAATATTCTTCCGCCATCATGTTCTTCTGCAAGACCAATTAGTTTGAGGGAATGTTTTTTTTTTTGCAAAAATAAAAATACAAAAAATAACATTAACATCCAGTTTACCATGACAGAAATATTTATGTGGATTGATGATCACCTGTATCTCATATTCAGAGATTGTCTGTATTTCCATATTTTATGTTCAATAGCAATTTTAAATCCATTTGAGGATAGGAGGACTGATATGTCTTTCTCAACACGATAATCCTAAATTGGAAATATCCCATTTTTTCCCCTTCTCATGTTTACTGTTTGTACTAATGAGGTGACATGGACCCTTGTTTTCTTTGGTAAAAGGTAATCTATGTTTATACAGGTCCTTCTCCAAAAATTAGCATATTGTGATAAAGTTCATTATTTTCCATAATGTAATGATAAAAATTAAACTTTCATATATTTTAGATTCATTGCACACCAACTGAAATATTTCAGGTCTTTTATTGTTTTAATACTGATGATTTTGGCATACTGCTCATGAAAACCCCAAATTCCTGTCTCAAAAAATTAGCATATCATGAAAAGGGTCTCTAAACGAGCTATTAACCTAATCATCTGAATCAACTAATTAACTCTAAACACCTGCAAAAGATTCCTGAGGCTTTTAAAAACTCCCAGCCTGTTTCATTACTCAAAACCGCAATCATGGGTAAGACTGCCGACCTGACTGCTGTCCAGAAGGCCATCATTGACACCCTCAAGCAAGAGGGTAAGACAGAAAGAAATTTCTGAACAAATAGGCTGTTCCCAGAGTGCTGTATCAAGGCACCTCGGTGGGAAGTCTGTGGGAAGGAAAAAGTGTGGCAAAAAAACGCTGCACAACGAGAAGAGGTGACCGGACCCTGAGGAAGATTGTGGAGAAGGACCGATTCCAGACCTTGGGGGACCTGCGGAAGCAGTGGACTGAGTCTGGAGTAGAAACATCCAGAGCCACCGTGCACATGCGTGTGCAGCAAATGGGCTACAGGTGCCGCATTCCCCAGGTCAAGCCACTTTTGAACCAGAAACAGCGGCAGAAGCGCCTGACCTGGGCTACAGAGAAGCAGCACTAGACTGTTGCTCAGTTTTGCATGTCATTCGGAAATCAAGGTGCCAGAGTCTGGAGGAAGACTGGGGAGAAGGAAATGCCAAAATGCCTGAAGTCCAGTGTCAAGTAACCACAGTCAGTGATGGTCTGGGGTGCCATGTCAGCTGCTGGTGTTGGTGCACTGTGTTTTATCAAGGGCAGGGTCAATGCAGCTAGCTATCAGGAGATTTTGGAGCACTTCATGCTTCCATCTGCTGAAAAGCTTTATGGAGATGAAGATTTCATTTTTCAGCACGACCTGGCACCTGCTCACAGTGCCAAAACCACTGGTAAATGGTTTACTGACCATGGTATTACTGTGCTCAATTGGCCTGCCAACTCTCCTGACCTGAACCCCATAGAGAATCTGTGGGATATTGTGAAGAGAAAGTTGAGAGACGCAAGACCCAACACTCTGGATGAGCTTAAGGCCGCTATCAAAGCATCCTGGGCCTCCATAACACCTCAGCAGTGCCACAGGCTGATTGCCTCCATGCCACGCCGCATTGAAGCAGTCATTTCTGCAAAAGGATTCCCGACCAAGTATTGACTATTGAGTGCATAACTGAACATAATTATTTGAAGGTTGACTTTTTTTTGTATTAAAAACACTTCTTTTATTGGTCGGATGAAATATGCAAATTTTTTGAGACAGGAATTTTGGGTTTTCATGAGCTGTATGCCAAAATCATCAGTATTAAAACAATAAAAGACCTGAAATATTTCAGTTGGTGTGCAATGAATCTAAAATATATGAAAGTTTAATGTTTATCATTACATTATGGAAAATAATGAACTTTATCCCAATATGCTAATTTTTTTAGAAGGACCTGTAGTATCATCTAAGGTGAGATGGCAGAGGGTTTTTTTTTTATTTAATGAACCATTTCTACTTAGTCTTTAGGATCATCTGAAAGGGAAAAAAGTAATCATAGATTTACAGTTTTTATTGTTGATCTTTGTAATTTAAAAATAATAAGCCTTTGCTATATTAGCAAGCTGTTAATACTGTGCATGTACATAACCCTTTACTTGAGACAACATTAAATAAAGATGCATTTGAATAAACTCTGTTTCTCTCCTCTTTTCCACTTCTTTATAGACTATATAGTACAGTATATAGTGAAGTGTGTGGATTTTGGAATAAACTGCTGCTTCAATGTATATGTAATGAGTGATTATAATCAAGGTATTAATCAATATTTTTCCTTCTAAATATCACATGAGTTGAATGACTTCTCTAGCCTTGTGATATTTCACTTTGTTATAGAAGATACCAGTGTGATAACTGAAATGTTCTTTTCATGTATTCTCTAATGTCTGTATTTGATGTGTGAATGCAATAACAGTGCTTGCTCATTTAGCCCGACTTCCAAAAATTAAATATGGAAAGATGTTTTGTTTTGTTAAGAAAGGTCTTCAACATGTGTCAATAAATTCCTCTATTTTTCTAGGGTACTCTGACGACTATAAGTCACAGGTGTCATTGAAGTCTATAGTTTAAGGGAACCTTTCTCAGTTAAAGCCTTACTTTCCAGTCAGACTAAAGTGTAGCTCTCCTTGAGAGAAAGAACGCATTATCTTGATGTTTTGAGAAAAGCTGTGTGTTAGTCTTATTGGTTACAGGTTAAGGAACAAGCGGCATTATTGGAGATTGACTGAGTTGTTGTTCTGGACACGTTGGCGCCCAGCAACCCAAATCTGCGACCAGGAAGGTCACGACGTGCCTAACTTCAGGGTCCGAGTGTCAGCTGCATAATCGATGGAGATATGCTTCAGTCTATCTGTATATGTGTGGAAAATTACAATGTTTATCTATTTCTTAGCCAATCAGAAACTACAACTTGAAGTAAGGACGTATAGCTTAGACCTTGGTGAAGGGTATAACTGCTGTGATCTTTGTAACTGTAAGTGGGGCAGCCTACGAACTCCACTGTCTTGAAGCTGACTTCAGCTGATGAAACTGCAAACTGTCTTCAGTAAAACTTTTCTTTGATTTATTATAATTCTGACTTTTGTCTTAATTAATCATTTCTGGTTCTGGGTCTTTAACTGTTACCCCCCTATCAGTAGCACCCTATTATGTATATATTATATATAGCAACACTGCAAATCCTATTCTGAACTCAAGTATCAATGCCACATGATTCTATATTCTGAACTCAAGTATGGATGCCACATGATTCTATATTCTGAACTCAAGTATGGATGCCACATGATTCTATATTCTGAAGTGAACAGCAGTTTGAGAGTGACTTCCTGCAGCACACTTGATGCACTTTATCCTGGTTAGCTTAGTACCTCAGCAACATATTCACATTAGCTGGCAATTTTCCATCCCTGTTTGAACAGACAATAATGTAGTTCATGTAATTTTCTTAAATCTTAAACATTTATAGTCAGATTTTTTTATTAACAAATGTAGAAATATTTTGTTTCATGTTATTACCAACCTCAAAATGCTTTGTAATTCAGTCAACTATCAGATAAGAAAGCATGAATCACATTTTACTTCATATGATAACCTACAGTATAAACTTGCATCATCTCGGATATTCATCTGAAATAAAAAGAAATAGATGTTAGAGCCCCGTTCATTGCCCAAGTAGGATTTGAGCCTGTTTTTAAAATACCAATGTTAAAACTAGTTGAATCAGCTTTATCTAAAGTACTTAAGAGTAGTTGGTTGTGAGTGACAGGATACACTTTCAAATAAGAACATGTAAAAAATACATTTCCTTAGAGACGGTAGTAGACATATTGACACCTAACTAGAATAGTCTGGCTCAAACACACCTCCTAACCTCACCACACACTTCAAAGGGGCTTCATAGGGGGACTTTTCACGCTACTCAGAGCAAAGAGGTATGCAATCACAAGAGCAACAACTGGTTTTAGCATCAGACTAATTTAAAAAGTATGAAACAATCACACACTCGCCCACACAAAACCCCTAACAGTTAAAGTAATTATAAATTAAATAATAATATAGCGCCTTTAAAAGTTACTTTCTCAAGGCACTTTATATGAAAGCTTTACAAAAAGTCAAACACAACAATAAAAGAACATTACATGGTAAATATAATAAAAGGCAGATAACCAAAAACAACACATTAGAAAAACAAATCAAGTAAGACCAATTCTAAAATAATTTGTTTTAAGACCAGTTTTAAAAATATGTAATGATTTTGCTTCCCTGATGTCAGCTGGGAGAGAATTCCACAGTTTTGGAGCATATGCTGAGAAGGCCATGTCAACCTTGGAACGAAGGCGTGTTTTGGGAACAGCTAAGAGACCACACTGAGAAGATTGCAGATTGCAAGTTGGCGTGTAAGGAGTTAAAAGATCGACCAGATACTGCAGAGCTAAATCATGCAAAGCCTCATACTGTATGTTAGCATTAAGATTTCAAAATCTGCACGATACCTGACAGGAAGCCAATGTAACGTCTCCAAAATAAGAGCTATAATGGTCACCAACCCTGGCCCCAGTTAAAATTCTAGCTGCTGAGTTTTGCAGACATTTTAATCTGTTAAGAGAAGATTTGGATACTCCAATTAAAGAATTAATCAATCTTTCAGCAACAGAAAAGGACAACATAGGCCAAATACATGCAATGTTTCTAAGATGAAAAAAGGAGGTCTTAACCATATTCTGTACAAAAGGCACAAATTACAGGGTAGCATCAAAGATGACTCCAAGATCAACAACACCATCAACTAACAAATCTATAGAAACAGTATTGCACAGTTGATGGGGAGAGCCGAGGAGCATGACTTCAGTTTTAGAGCTATAGATACAGAAAATTGTTAGACACCCACAACTTCATCTCAGAGAAAAAGTTGGAAAGATGAGAAACATCCACAAATTGACCAGACTTGGAATGCTGTATGTCATCAGCATAAAAATGATAGCTGAGGTCAACCGATCTTAATAGCTGACCAAGAGGGTAGATATAAATGTTAAAGAGCAAAGGACCAAGAACTGAGCCCTGTGGGACACCAGTACAAACAGGACCCACCTCAGATCTAAAACCACCCAAATTAATTGTGATCCCTAAAAAAATGACCTAAACCATTCTAAGTCAGTCTCAGATACATCAAAGACAGTTTCCAATCGGTTAAGTAAAAGCATATGTTCAGCGGTGTCGATAGCTGAGCTAAGATCTAATGAGAATCGACAGAATCAGCCAGAATCAGAAGCTAATAATAAGTCATTGACGACTTTAACCAAGGCTGTTTCGCATTTTCCTAAACCCAGATTGAAGGGGCTCGAACAAATTATTAACCATTAAATGATTGTGCAATTGAGACGTAACAACATCCTCTAAAATTTTAGACATAAACGGAAGATGTGAAATTGGACAAAAGTTGCAAAAATTGTTTAAATCACTGTTTTGCTTTTTTAATACGTGACAGCAGTTTTAAGTGCTGCTGGCACAACCAGTAGACAAAGAGTCACAGTTAGAACAGCAGGGCACAAATAACCGAGACAAGATTTAAATAAATTAAAAGGCAAGTAAGTAACATCATTTTTTTAATATTTTTTTTATTAAGTGAAAGCAATGTATTTTATTCTGGTCTGCCCATTTAAAAGCACTTTAAGCAAAAGCTGTAAAAGAGTGAAGTACACAATACTGCAATCAGGCTACTTTTCATTGTTAAACTGACTGTCTTTATAGATAACAATATATTTAAATTATAACTAACTATTATTATGAATGAATGTTTGTTCTGTTCAACCCACTAAAATAAGCTTATCCTTGTCATCTCCTACATCTGGTGATCTAAACGGATGACTTAATGAATATTGCATTTTATTTTAAGGGGTTTTATGGTCAATGAATAAATACTTCACATCAGAAATCAAGTGTTATCACCTTATTAATAATCTCAAACTGGCTAAACATATGGGGTTTTTACAGTTGCAGCAGAAACAGGTAATTAGCAGACCGAGATATTCAGACTAAGTTTTTAACCAATCTTCTTTTTAATCCAAGGGAGGAAGTGGGAGATTTTTACATAAACTTGAGGATATGTTTTGTTTACGCAGCTACCATTATAGGTATATGAAGCAATTGCTTGTGGTTTGGTATTGCAGATAAGAGGACTTCCTGAATCACCCTAGTGAAGAAGAAGAAGAAGATGAAAAACATTAATAATATAATATAATATTATATTATATAAAACATAATAAAATAATATAATACCTGACAAAAAGCATGTTTCCCATCTGAAACACTACAGATCATTCTCTCAGAGTTGAAGTAGTGCTGCCAGCTTTCTTTACATTTTGAGTTCTCCTGCAGTATAAGAGTGACTTCCCGCATCACATTTGATCCCTCTACTCCTTTTGGGGTTGTTAACCCCCAACCAGCAATGGAGCATTTAACATTAGCTGGTGTTTTTCCATTTTTCTTAGGAAGAGGCATAACTTTCACAAATTTATTCACCTTGGCTTTGTTCTTCAGCTACAAATAACAGAACATATGTTAAAGAGAGCAAGCAAAGCGCATAATATAGAGTCACAAAGGTGAAAATACCTTTAGTAACATGATATCATAGCTGTAGTCCTTCTCAGTATTATCAGATTGAAACTTAGGATGTTGGATGTATTTTAACACTTTGATTCTCTGCTGGCTTTTCTCATCCTGATGGATGTTGTGAGCTCCCAGAACAACCTCAAAGTTGCCCCGACCAGAGAAGGCACTGCGACTGCGGGAAAAATGTAAAAACAGTGTATACCTTGAAGCATTTAGATAACTAAAACACAAAATTACAGATAGATAAACTAAAAGTCTTGAGGCTATAACTTTTTGAAAAGCATCATAAATAATCCTTCACACGCATCCTAGCACATACTTCAAACAGTGGGCCGCTGTCAGTACATAATCCTCTCTGATCAGCATCCCTCCACATGTGTGATGTTTATTTTCAACCTGAATAGATGCCATGTATGGTCTGGAATGAGGTTTAGAAACTTTTCCACCAATAATACCACTCTCCATCCCACCTGTGATATAAACAGAAGTAACATACCATTACCAGACTATTTAGGGAGGTATTGAATGTACATACTTTTTATAATTTGCATTCTAAGTATTTTATTTTATTTATATTTTTCAAAATATTTGAGTTTTCAGATGTTATGCTCTTGTAAAAGGATGCACAATGTGAATTCAGGAAGAAAGGAATGAATAATATCTTACCAGCCAAAGAGATACCAAGGAGAAGAAGAAAAGCGTAAAGAACCATGGTGCAACTGCATCAGCCTGTGGTAAAGCATTAGTGTGCATATGCTATCATATACTCAGACCCACTCACTACCCTCACTAGTTGTATCTCCTCCCCCTCTTACCTCAAACCACAAAATGTGTGTACAAAATAGCAAGCAGCCATTACTCAGGAATCATTACCAAATTTGAGTTACAGAGTAATAAAATACTCTACTCACTTAAGTGTACTGTTATTAGAAATGAAATACAATAAAAAGTACCTTAATTCCAAATCTCATGTTTGTTCAAATTATTTGTTGGTTTATTATAGTGTCGGTGTCATATAGTGATCCCACACTGACTGACTGTGTACATAGTATTTTTATTCACAGTCAATGACTGGACATTGGTTGTGGCAAGCATAAAACATCAATGTGTGACATCAAAGTTACTGGCTGAAAAACAAACAAACAAACAAACAAACAAAAGAGGTCAAAAAGAAACCTCTTTATAATAGAATAATAAAAAAAATGGGATAGGCTCTAGCACTATGACCCTAGAAGGACCAATCAATAAATGTATAGTATAGCAATGTATATCTTTTCACATCAACAATGAACAATGTTCTGTGGCTTCCTGTCGACCAAAGTTCGACAGCTGATTTTATTTCTGGTTTAGGATTTGCTTGATACGATTATTTTAACTTTATTCATACAGTATGCAAGCTACTGTATATCATAGAGGATCTTAGTGGACCCAGATCCTCACTGCCAAAAATTAGATGCTATTACATTCACTTAATGTTCTTCCTAATCCACGGAAGGAAGGCAGATATTTTCATGTAGACCTCCGGATACTTCTTGGATGTACAGTTATCAGGATATGTGTATGCAGCCATTCCTTGAAGTTTAGAGTTACAAAAAAGTGGACTGCCAGAATCACCCTAGAATGAAACAGATGAAAGACTTAAATGTATTCTGCCACTATGTGAATTCTTTGTTAATCATCTAGTGACGTTTCAGTACCTGACAGAAAGCCCTTTTCCCATCTGAGACACTGCAGATCATTTTCTCAGAGTTGAAATGGTCATGCCACTTATTTTTACATTCAAAGCTGAACTGCAATTTGAGGCTGACTTCCCGCAGAACCCTTGATGCTTCTCCTCTGGGTTTTTTCATACCCCAGCCAGCAATGGAGCATTCCACACGGGCAGGAACATTTTCATTGTTCTTAGGTAGATCGATAACATCCACAAACTCATTCCGCACAGCTTTGGTCTTCAACTGTAACATATCAATCAGTGAATACCAGAATACAAAAATTCACTCAAAAGCACAATCTGAGCACCATGAATACCTTTAGTAACATAATATCATAGGTGAAGTCATTGTTTGTATAATTGCGATGTGGGATGTACTTCTCTACTTGGATTATCTGCTGGCTCTCCTCATTCTGGCTGATATTGTGAGCTCCCAGAACAACTTCTAAGTTGGAGGTCTTACTGTGAAAATGTTTAATGTTAAGGTTATTTTAAAGCATCATGTCAGTACATCGATACAAACAAATTAAAAGCTAAACTACCTAACTTTTTTAAATCAGTTTAATAATCAACTGTTTTTGAATACTACATATTACCCAGTTTATTAGGGATATGGATATATGGATACTTACTTAAAACAGTGGGCTGATGTCAGCACATAATCATCCTTAATCAGCATCCCTCCACACTTATGGTGTCTTTTATACTGGAGAGATGCCATGTATGGTCTGGAATGAGGTTTAACCTCTCTGCCTCCAACGATACCACTCTCTAACCCTCCTGTGATAATGAGACAAGAGGATCTCATTGGAGCTATAGAGTTAAAACTTACATGTCTTTATTTCTTTATTTCAGACCCATGGGTCCATATAAACATACAACATATATAAACAACAAAACACCAAACACAATTTAAAAGACATACAAGCTTTCTTTCCAATGCTTCCAAAAACAAGAAAAATACCTTGTATCACTCAATGCAATGTCATTTAAGACCCTAATAATACTATTTTTTGAAACACTCAATCTACATATAAAATTATACATACATTTTCTTAAAACAGCATTCAACGTAGGCACATTATTAACCACAAACATTTGGCTTGCACTTGCCCACCTTGGGTGCTTAAGCAAAATTCTAAGTGCATCATTGAATGCCACCTGAAGCTTTCTCATCTTTGCTAGAGTATTTACACCAAAGGTGGGCTGTATATAAAGAAGTACAGTATGCCCTAAATAGAGTTATTTTAACCTCATCTGTACACATACAAAATTTACGAGCAAGCATATTAGCCTGCCCATACAGTTTACAGCACTGGCGCTGCACGTCATCATCATCATTTAAATCATTTTTATTGATGTGACCTAGGTATTTTACTTTATTTACTACATTTAAAACTTGGTCATCTAAATAAAAAGAGGGAACATTTAGTTTATGGTCTTCTTTTGCTTTAACAATCATGATAACACTCTTTTTAATATTGAATTTTATGTCATGCTTCATACCATAGCTTGAACAGATTCGAAGCAACTGTTGTAAGCCTGCACTGTACGGAGACATAATAACAACATCGTCAGCATACATCAAATGATTAATGATACTATCCCCTATCAGGCATCCAGTCTTTTACACTAATTTAATTCCACCGAAAGACCATCCACATATAAATTAAAAAGAAGGGGTGACAATAACCCCCCCTGCCGAACCCCATTCGTCGTATAAAACGGCTCCGATATATTATCACCCCATTGCACTTTTAGAGTTTGATGTATGTACCAAAAATGTAAAATTCTTATCATATAAGGGGAGACCCCTCTTTCTTGCAATTTTGTAAATACCTTAGTATGATTAACTCGATCAAACGCCTTCGAAGCATCTATAAAAACTGTGGAATTATGAGCATTGAACTTACTAGCTACTTCTTTTAACGAATATATGCATAGATCAGTGCCATGCTTACTTTTAAAGCCGAATTGATTATCCGTAGTTGTTAAATATTCTTTAATCCTATCCATGAGGATTTGTTCAAATATTTTAGAGAGTAGGCTACACTTGCCAAAGCAACTGGCCTATAGTTTTCTGTCCCAGTTATTTTACCCGTTTTATATTTAATAACAGGCACTAGTAAGACTGTTATCATGGAATCCGGTAACACTCCACTGCATGAAATAAAAAGCCTGTAAAACACAAAGCAAGTAATACTGAGATCCTAGAGCTAGCGTGTTTCAAATGTTCAGCTGTTATTCGGTCTGGGCCACCAGCTTTATTATCGGCCAGTTTCTCGATTGCGTACTTAACTTCATCAGGTGTAATAATCATACCTAGATCATTTGGTACATGACCAACTTTAAATTCCTTCCTCTCAACACAATTAAAAAGACCTTCATAATATTTTCTCCACAAGTTGACAATATCCTCAGCCCCATCCATGCTATTCGGCATAGGTATTTTCCTGTATAGCCTTAACTTCTTTCCAAAATTCATAAACAATTATTTTGCTGTAGGTTCTTGGCCATTGAGTTTGCTCTCATGGACAGCTCGTTCCTTTTTATATATCGCAGAGCGTATTTAAATTTAGCATTTGCCAATTTCTTATCCTCAAATTCTGGGCCATACCTAACTTTACCTGTTAAGACCCAGTGTTTGAATGCAACTCTGGCCTGCAAATGCAGTTCAGAGACATAATCATTCCATCCGGCCTTATAATTATATTTTTTAACCCTTTTTGGACAAAAAGGTCTACTGGCATCATCTAAGCCAGCCTTTCTCAAACTTTTTTCAGTCGGGGCACCTTTCAAAAGTGCATAAAATCTCAAGGCACCCCAGTGTAAAATATAAATTAAAAACACTGCATAACCTAAATGTAAATGCAAATGTCCTGTTTATTTAGACAGAACAGTAATGAACAGAGCATAATATGAACTGTAAATAACAATAACAATAATAATAACAACTTTACAGGGCTATCACTTTTGTGAAAAAATCCTGATCGATTTTTGAGACATAAATGTTCATTGAATCGATTGTAAAATCGATTTTCCATGTCTAAAGACGTTTCCATTTTCAGCGCCAAATATAGGCAAACCCACGGACAACTAACAGGCATTAGCACGAGCGTAAAGAGTGCGCTTGAGACGCGCACAAGTCAGCAATATTTCTGATGATTTATTGGCATGAAGTTTCGTGCGCAATGACAAACAGGAGTGCAAGATTCTCGAAAAACAATAAGGAGAGTGGACTGCCATAACATCAATGAAAAGCATTACTGCAGGCTTCAACATGGCTGTGTTTACAATTAGAAATGTCAAACAAATTTCGCCTACGTAGGCGATTGTAGGCCGGATCTGTATCTGTATGCATGGGACTGTCTGAATACCGGCAGAATTCACATTTTTGTTGTAAAAAGAGACACATTATGCAGAAGTATAGTATAGTTTGTATGTGTGTGTGTCAGAGCCTGCAGTTGCTGTGTGACGCGCGTGTCGTGACGAGCTGGACGCGCTCCGAGAGAAGGCCGTTAAAATCGATTCCCTATTTTCGGTTTCGATACTTGTGTTGGTTGGTCCGATCGATTGTGCAATCGATTTTCGAACGTAAAGTGACAGCCCTTTTGCAAAGTAATTCACAAAATAATTAATCAGAGACACAAATGCCATACAACCGTAAGGGCTCAAACATATAGCCTAAGCCTATCAATGATAATACTGTGGTAAAAAAAATTTATTTGCTTATAATTAACATGACAATGTGTACAAAACTAAAGTGGCCTAAATTCACGTTTATTTTTTACGTTTCTGTCAGTCTGAGGTGTTGTTGCTATAACGCGTTGCTATGGGTTGCGTCAAGTTGTGTGTGTGTCTTGCTTCGGTCTTGTGAGACGGATTTTTATGGTTAATTTTATATATATATATATATTTATCTAAAATGAATTTACAATTTTATTAATACGTTCATATGTTTAAAAAGAAGAAGAATGTATTTATGTAAATTCAAATATATATATTTTTTAGCCTACATAATTTTTTGGCGGCACCCCTGACAAAGTCAGGGGGCACCCCAGTGTGCCGCGGCACCCACTTTGAGAAAGGCTGATCTAAGCAACCCACTATTTCATCATACATCTTACATAGATTGTACTTGTGCTTAGGATTCTTACATCCAGCATTATCACACACAACAGTCTCATTTGGCACTTCTATATTGCTCAACCTCTTCTCTGTTAATAATTTATATCTCAAAAGATCATTTGCTGTGAGTCTTGCCCAGTCTAATTTACCTTTTCGTTCAGAATGTTCACATTTAGTCAGCTCAGTTAAACTTTCAACATTTAGCATAATTGCAATTGGTATGTGGTCAGTTGTAGCTAAGTTATATAATATTTCAAGTTTATCTAGGGAAGCATGTGCATCTGCTGTACATATACAGTGATCCAGCCAGGAAGTTGTATTCCATGCCTCGCTTATATATGTAAAGCTTTCTGCTGGCAATAATGTTTGGCTGGAAAAAAACAACTTGCTATCCAGGCAAAACCTGATTAGCTGCTGGCCAAACAAAGAATTATTATCAGATATGTCAGCATTCAAATCCCCCAATATAAATATACTAGTACATACATTTTCATTTATAAAAGCACTTATAAAAGCAAGCATATTCATCTTCATTTTGGCTGCATTCGTATGGAGCATACACGTTCAAAATTACAAAGACCTTTTCATTATGTTCCACTTTGATTGCTATACACCAGTCGGCCTCTAATTTAATCACAGTACAGTATAACTTGAAAATATGACAAATTACAGAAGTAAAATGGTTATGAGCTTATTATTATTGATATATTTCTCCTAATATATCACAATGATTTAAACAGTTTGAAAGCCATTGGTACAAAAATGTGGATATGTACATGAGTCTAAAAAACAAATAGGATCTCATTAAAATATTCCCACCCATGTCTTACCGGACAGAGAGAAGACAGAAAGCAGGAGACAGACACTGAGCAGCATGATGTATAAATGTGCTGATACAGACAGGAATGGAACATGAATGGCATTTGACCCTCAGTGTTGCCTTTATACTGTCTGACCTATACAGTATTCTCTGTTGCATATGAAAGTATACAACGGAAAGGGGTAGGGGAAAGTTCTGACACACATATATTAATAACACAGTGAGTTCTCAGGTAAAGAAGTACCGTGAACCACACTTAAAGGGGCAGTTCACTGAAAAATGAAGGTTCTGTCATCATTTATTCACCCTCATGTTGTTCCTAACCTGTATTACTTTACTTTCTTCTGTAGAACACAAAAGAAGATATTTTGAAGAATGTTGGTAACCAAGCAGTTTTGGTTAACATTGACTTCCATTATATGGACAAAAACACTGTTGTTGTTGTTTTCAAAGTATGTTCTTTCATGTTCCACAGAAGACAGGTTTGGAACAGCATGAGGGTGAGTAAATGATGACAGAATTTTCATTTTTGGGTGGACTATCCCTTTAAGTATAATGCGAAAAAATATAACGTTCACATTAAATTAATGCAAAAGAGCTTTAAGAAGATTCCTATTCATCACTGTGTAGTATAAAACCTCCCACTAGCTTAGTTGTGATTTGACAGGAAAGGCTGGTATGATGCCTTTTTTCTGTGGCATATGTGATGGCCATCAACTTTTGTCCCACAAACCGCCACAAACACATTCATACTCTGAGTCAGTTTGCCCATATAGTCTAATTCCTATTTCTATTCTTATTTGAGTGTGACCACAAGTTTCCATCCATTTTTTTCTTATATGACAGGTTTTTACAGGTTTTGTTCCAGTTGCAATACGAATCATGGGGTTATAATGGAACCTCACCTCCCACTCTAAAATATCAACATAATACACAATTACTCCTAAATATTATTGATATTTATTGAACTTTTCATAAACACCAATGATAAAAATTTAAGAGGCTGTTTATGCCCCACTTGAAGGCCACATATCATCATAGACCAAAGACTCTAAGACAGTGATTTAGTAAATTACAGCTCTGATTTATCCGCTTTCCTTCTTCTTGGTCTTTACGAAGGGTTGGTGCAGTACGTCATAAAGCCTTCTTGCCTAAATGAACCACAATTAGGAAAAGTGATTAAGAGACATACCCTTGGATTGGTTAAAAGAGTCAAATGCACTTATTTTTGAAAAAAATTGTTTGCATCAAAGTACGATGCAACGTTGCGTATTGAGCCAACAGTTCAAAATATGATATCAAAGTGTCTCTACACACCTTCTGTGGACCGAGTCCTGGGCACAAAACTAGTTCCTCCTTAGAAGCCTTAATGATGCCCTCCAAAGACTGAAGAGGTAAAATACCATCAATATAAGAACATAAAAGTATTTCAAGATCACTCATTTAAAATAGGCAAAGGTTTTTATGTACACTACCATCCAAAAGAGGTCTGTAAGGTTTTGTAATGTTCTTGAAAGAAATCTCTTTAGTGTCACTCACATGATCCTTCAGTAATCATTCTAATATGCTGATTTGCTGCTCAAGAAACATTTCTTATTATTATCAATGCTAAAAATAGTTGTGCTGCTTCATATTTGTATTTAATAATTCTTAATAGTATTTATTTGAAATCAATTTTATGCATCCTTGCTGAATAAAACTAATAATTTCTTTCAGAAAAATAATCTTTTGAATGGTAGTGTAAGTAATAATAAGATGTGCAACATCTAAAGGAAAAGTATTCCTTACAGAAAAAGTAGACAGCAGAGTCATGGCATCTGTCTTATTGACAGACTTTACGGTGGTTAAACAATCTGTAACCTGTCAAATAAAAAGAAAGTGCCTTTATAGAAATGATGCCATCAGTGATGATTAAATAAAACCATACATAATAATTTCAGATCTATAAATAGATTTTTGGGCTCTAACCTGGGACAGGTAATTTTTCTCCACTTGTTCTTTCAGAAGATCTGCAGGTTTCTTCTCGTAGGATTTAAATGTCTCAAGGTACCGACCTGCTTCTTCAGGACTTACACATACAAACAGGTATGTTTAGTTAAAGGAACTAAATTAAAGCACTAAAAACTTATAGCTTATATTTACACAAGCCACAAAGGAAATTCCCCTCCAGCTTGATGATTTAGAACTATGCCCTTACCTCCAGGCCAAAATGAGGGTACAGTCAGCCATGATGCATATTCGAGCAAGCTCTTTCAGAGCATGATGAGGGTCTTTCTGATAAATGAGGAACACAGAAATGGGACATGAACATCAGCAGTCTCTAACTGAATTAAAGCTACTTAAAACTTCAAAAACAGGCACTTAGAAGATATTTATTACCGGCCATCGATTTATTTAGCATTTAATTCAGAAAGAGATTTAAATAACACAAATGAGAAAGGACAAAGAAATGCGAGTGTGAGTGAAACAGACAGACTCACCACATCGACCTGGACGAGCAACACTCTGAGGGTGAAACTCTGTCCCAGCTGTTTCAGACGCTCATGGATGTAGTTTGGGTTCAGATTATGGTAACGCACACTGTGGTCATGAGAGAGAGAGAGAGAGAGAGAGAGAGAGAAAGAGAAACTAAAACATCCCATATAGTACTTATATGTTTGGTTAATATAAACACTATTAAAAAAAAGTTCATTTCAATTTGGCATTTGTAATTCAGTCAAATGAAACCACTGGTTAAGCCAGGGACTGAAAACTTCTGCAATGATTCATATATTAAACACAAAAAGCATAATCTTGCCATGTACAGGTACATCAAATTAAAAATCCAATTACAAAATGCATTTGTTAATTAACATTTCACAGCTGATTCTACATTGTCTAAAATGTATTGTCACACCAATCATTACAGTCGGCCACAACATGTTTACTTGCTTGAATTCTCACTAATTTTCTTTGCAAAGAGAGGAGGAGGATGATGTGGTTTCACACCTGACTAAGTGAGAGGATTCCATTTTCACATAACACTTACAAGATGAGTTTAAAGTGCACATACACTTGCTGGAAACCATGTTTCTATAATTTAACACTTGATTTGCCATTATAAATTAGGTATTATGAAATATTATTTAAGATTTCTTGGCACGAAAAGATCTGCACAGACGTTCAGTAATTGGTTTGATAACAAAAGCCACACATCTCACACACACAGAAAAAAACACACATTGAAGTAGAACTTTGTCTTCGACAAACGTTAAACTAAGCAAATAAAGGATAGAGCAGAGCTGGCAACATTTATGAAAGTGGCATTTTCATAAACTTAAAGAGGACCTATTATACTTTTTTTACATTTTCAACTTTCTTTAGTCTGTAATATTAAGGTCTGCAAAGTTACAAAGCACAAAGTCCACTCAAAAAGGAGTTATTCTCTATATCAGTAAGCACTGTTTCTGAACCCCCTGAAACGCTTCCATTGTAGTCTTGAGTATATATATATTCCTCACTATTCACTATATTCCTCATTTAAATAATTGTAATACATTTAATTAAATAATAACCGAAACACACTTGAAACGGTTGACAATCACAAAACACAAGTCCAGCTGACCAATCAGAGCCCATTGTGCTTTTTTGGAAAGAGGGGCTTCATAGAGACAGGAACTAAACAGTGTTACTGACAGATTGGGAAGAGAGGTGCTGCAACAACTTAAAATATGTAAAAAAACAACAACAACAACATTAACACCTGAACACAGAATGTTAGACCCCAAAAACAAAATCAAAAATATGCAAATCTGGTGCAGGTTTTGAGATCAAACTAATATAATTACTTTCTTTCCTCCATGATTGAGTGCATTAAAATCCAGCAAGACGTGTGCAATTGGGCTCAAGTGTGTACAATGAAAACAGTGACAGCACTGCTTCCATATTTATCTCCATCGGTGTCCTGCTGAAGCTTCTAGCTTTTCAATGTGTACATTTAGATTCCTATTTTGAAGAAGAAACATTGGCAACTGTAATATTAGAAATAATCTTACTGTGGGTACTATACATATACCCACAAACCAACCTGAGAAAAAGAGCACACGTTGTCCGTCCTAAAACATAGTCTGGCACCACTTCTCCAAACTCCCAAGGAACATTTCTCACAAACTTTAGGATGGGGTTGCCTCTCTGTATACAGATTAAAAACATATCTTAATCAAGTTCTATATTTAATTGTTATATTTAAATATTTGTTATATTAAAAATCAAGTAAAAGTTGCATTCAGTAAGTTTTGATTTACACTGCCGTTTAAAAGTCAGTAAGATTTTTTATGTTTTTGATTGAAGTCTCACCAAGGCTGCATTTATTTGATAAAAAAAAAACCAACAACAGTAAAACAGTAATATTGTGAAATATTATTACAATTTAAAATAAAACTTTTCTATTTTAAAATGTAATTTATTCCGTTGATGGCAAAGCTGAATTTTAAGCATCATTACTCCAGTGTCACATGATCCTTCAGAAATCATTCTAATATGCTGATTTGCTGCTCAAGAACATTTCTTATTATTATCAATGTTAAAAAAACAGCTGTGCTGCCTAATATTTTTGTGTATTTCACAATATTAATATTTTTACTGTAGGTTTGATTAAATACATATAGCTTCGATGAGCATAAGAGATATTTTTTCAAAAACATAAAAAAATCTTACCGACCCCAAACTTTTGAACGGTATGTTTCGATGGCTTTTCTTCTTCCAAATGGTCTTGGACTAATACTGACACCTATCGACATGGCTACTTCACACAAGAGTATTTCTCAATAGTACTATACAATTCTTTATATGTAAGAATAAAGGGAAACAATTTAAAAATTAGGGCGAAAAATACTGAGCGTACCTTTTAAAGATAGGAAAATGATAGATAATGAACATACGTTATACAGACCTGTCGAGGACTGACAATAATACTGTTCCCAGATCCTAAGAGATGAGGAGGAATGATACGACTCTCCAAACTCTGACCTTCCTCTTTTGTCTGATCTTCTGTTGGTACCTCTGCTGGTCCCTGCTGTTCAGTCTTGGGTTTTCCTGAGTCTGTGAATGACGTACTAACTGAGCCGCTTCCACCTGTGTTTACACTGCTTTGTCCTGCAGCATCGTTCCTACATTGGGCAGCAGATATTTGTTTCTCTGATCCATGAGCTGCTCCCTGAAGCCCCCTGTTTTTGCTCTGAACAACAAACTCTGCATAGGACAGTGGTTGGCCAGGAGCTGGAACAGTTGAGGCCTCTACTTGACCATCTTTGGCCTTAAACAACGATGCTACCTGTGAGAATAAAAGGAACCAGGATACTTGCATCATTTCAGAGACACTACCATCTGAATAATTTAATGTAATCTTAAAGGTGCCATATATTCTTCTGCAGAAGATCATTTTTTTTCATCATCTCTTAAAATTGTCCTTAAAAAACAAGGTCTTGGGCAAGGCTAAAACAATAAAAATCTACACATAAAAATAATTTGAAAATAAATGTTCGCTGCTACTTTTCAAATGCCTTTTATTTATAGATTTTCTTAATCTTGTCACAGACTGTTCTAGTGAGATTATGAAAATTCATTATAAAACATTCATTTTAAAAGTATTTTTTAAAAATGTTGAAGAAATGTAGAACTATGATGATCTGCAGAACATGTTGAACTATGATGATCCAAACAAAGATTGAAATAAAACTATTACTGTGAAAAATAATTTTTTATACATATTTGAAAAATTAAGATGACCCATTTCAATCACAAAAAAATAATAATAATAATTTTCACAAGTTAATGTTGCCTACTTGTTTCCTAAGGAGACAACAGTGTCAGTCAAGAACATGCTTGATATAAAATAAGAGATATAATTTGTGAAGGGGAAAAAACCTAAAAATTCTAGTAGGAAAATTAAGTCAAAATAACGAGGGGCGTTTTTAAAAAATAATGCATGGTCTCTTAGGGCCTCCGTAATGCGAGGATCTTCCAACGTTTATGATCCACTGAGGAAAAATGTCATATGGGTTTGAAAAGGATAAACATGGGGGTAAGTACATTATGATAAAACTGTCATTTTGAGTGTCATATGGACATATGGAGTGTCAAACTGTCATATGGATCACATGTATGAATCCAGCTTGTTGTGATTTATTTTAAGTTCTGTCTTCAGTGTTGCACTTACTGATCGTTAGACTGTTGCAGTGGGCAACATGATGCAATGCATAATGATTTGAGTCATCAACACCTTGTTATGGGCAAACTTGCAGAGAGAGTGTGAAAGTATCTCATCAAGTTTGTAACGTTAGATCGTGCTTGTTTAGTGACTTACAGTACATGCACTACAGGTTAAGTGCCCTGGCTTAATATCAGTGGTGATAGTTCATGTATGGAACTTTGGTGAGGTTTGAACCTCCATACTCACAGTTACAAAGACCTCTGATACTACAACACACCATACCAACTCAATCATAGGAAACAAAACTCACCGGACTTCTTTCCTTTGTGAACGCCGAATCGTCCAAATTGATATTGAATTTCTTTTTTTCCATTTATAAATTATCAGTGACTGCACAAACCATAGAAACCATACTATGAAAACATAGAAAACATACTAGCCCATCTGCCGCCATCGCAGATAAACAAAACAGTGTCAGACAAATGTATCAAACACAGAAACATCGATCGATACCGAGACGCTACTGGTACTATCCGACAGATGGCGCCCAAAACTCGGAATTTATTACATTTGCTCACATTATCCTAAAGATGTCGACATTGCTAAAGATTTTAATACTTTTCACGATGCTTTTCACACACGGGGTCCCAAATGCAGCCTACCGATTTTTAATGTTATTCAAAAAATTATTTTAAACAACATTGTACTACCGTAGTTTTTAAACATTTACCATAGTTGATATGGTATAGACTTTTTATTAATACGGTCATTTAGGCTACACTTCAGACTGAAGCTAGTTGCCACGTCATTGTTTCACCAAAAAAATAAATATTTTAAATAACACATTTACATTTTATTTGTCATTTTATTTTTATATACTATATATAACTAATTTTACACATGTGACAACATATTTAAGACCTATGTTTTAAATTAACATAAAAACCACTGCCAGAAACAAATTGGACTTGATTAAACCCTTACAGATATTGTCTTTGTGATAACTTCCACATGTGACAGCTAGTCCCAGTGTCTCTATGATCAGTTGGCAGTGGCATGGTAGCCTACTTTCTTTTCCTTTAATATAAATAATGTTCATTAATGGACATTGACTAAAGTCTCATTCATGACTTTTTCATCTCATCTCAGCATCATGTTCAATGTTTTTGTAATGTTAGAGGTTATCCAATTAAGAAACCCAAAGTCTGACAGACATCTGTGTATTGCCCATTTAACCCTGTTTGTGTGTGTATGTGGATGGCGTTTCGGGACGTCCTGCCACCATGCCATAACATCATGGGTCCCACAGACAGATGGTGCCAGCTTCTTTCTGAAGTCATGTTCATGCCCTCCAAGAGATGTGATGTATTCACACAATACGCACAAACCTTTGGCATCACACCAATGTATGTCAGTCACCTTTCAGGACAAATCAGACAAGATCATAAGTTGAAAGACAGTATGGATGTGCATAGACACGCACACAAACACATTCACATACATGTGAGCAACCATGAAAGATTTGTCTGGTTAAGTAAGGGTGTGACAAGGACACAGTTAGAGTTTTAAGGTGAGTGGGGCTGTATATCCAGCCTGTGGAGCAAAGGACTGTGGGTAAAGACGTCAAGCCAATTAGCTGCTCCATGGGTATAACCTTAAATACGTGTCCTCATATTGAAATTATAATAATTATAATTTCCAGAAAAAGCTTTCATTTTATACAGTATACCCATAAAGATGGAATAGTATTTTATTTTACTTGATTTATAGCTAGAAATAATATAGCTGTGTGTGTGTGTGTGTGTGTGTGTGTGTGTGTGAGAATTTTTTAAAAATATATATATAAAACCTGTAATAAATTATTACAGGTTATTTAAGTATATCAATTATTATAACCTGCAATAAATTCTTAGTCAGAACAATTTTGACTATAAAATCAAATAGAATGCCATCTTATTTTTATCTGCATGACTGCATCAGTAAATTTTGATGTAAGTTGTTGGGAGTGTTTTATTCATGTTCAATGTTTTCAGAGCTAAATATATATCTTTTTTTTTAAAACCCTTTAAATCAGTTCCACATTAAACAAGACAGTAATTACAGATATAACTAAATATTTCTATAATAGAATAGTCTTAATCTTATGTTTGATAACCTAAAAAAAAGGTGGATATTTCGCCATCTCATTTTAAATTTACGGGGCATTTTTATCACATTCAATGACATTTTCCCCTAAAGGCCTGGTTAGTTTTTTACACTTTTAGCATGTAAGATGAAAACTTGCTGCTGTCCTGTAAATGTTTTTTGGGGGAAGAACACAACCAGTCACACTCCACACCTCTGTAGACCTGAACTATAGCTCAGTTTGTGATGGCAGGAGATATGTAGGATCTATCCAGGCTAGTGCTGAATGTTGTGTGAACTTTTATTTCTTTCACCAACACTCATTTTCACATTCTTATTCATTTTCTTGTCCAAAAAAAGGAGAGGAGGGATGCAACAGCAAAGTTACAGATGCACTAGTGCTTTTTAACACTTAGCTGGTATATCTAGACACTGTGTTTTCTGTTTCGCACTTCCTCTGTCGCTCTTTCTAGCTTTCTCTCTCTGTCCATGTTGGCAGTGAGCCTGGCTTTGGCTGCAATAACGGCCACCTCCAGACCTCCGGCCCCTCCCTCAGGTCTCTCCTCCCCTCCCCTAGCAGACCCCATGCTGAGCCGGCTGTGTTGAGCTGTCAGCCCCCGGCTGCGGGCTGCTCCTGGGCTCCCAGTGTGGGTGTGTGTGTGCGTGTTGGGGCAGAGGGGTAACGGTCGGGTCCGTAGTGGCCGCTTATCTGCCCTGCCATCGCTGGGCAGGCGAGAGGACAGATTGGCCCTCCAGCTGTCTGACTGAAGGACTCGCAAGACCCCTTACTGAGGAAACCACATGCCCTGATACACAACACGCACATACACACATATCTTATTGAGATCACCACATTCCCTGATACGTACACACACCAAGTCACCCTCAGCTGTAACATATGCGTTTCAGCAGCACACTGACTCTACCATCCTGTGCCAAATGAGCCAAACTACCCATTAGGTTCAGAAAAAATGCTTTTTTCAGTATGAAAGCACATGGCATTCACACATTATATCAGCACCGCTCTGGCGTCATTTAACCACACAGGGCCGAGTGCAGTAGCCAATGCCATTACTAAAGTTCATAAATAAAAAATAAATAAAATAAAAAAAGCAACTTAAACTATAGCCTAAGCTGGTTCTAAGTTGGTCAGACTGGGAGACCAGCAAGTTCAGCTTTGCCCTTGAGACCATCTTAAAGTACACATCTTAGGCTGGTTTAAGATTTAGTTTTTTAATCTTAAAGAAAGCCTCATTTTTAATTACAAAGTACTGAAAAGTCCCATAACACCTCATCTCAAATGATGTATTATTTGAAAACAAAATGCAAACATATTTGAATGTTCGATTTTTTTTTTTAAATTACATTTTTGAAAAATGCCCTTTTATATTTTATTTCATATTTTAATTTTTCAAAAATAAATATATATATATATATATATATACAGCTTAAGCTTAAAAAGTCTGCTCACAAGTTTTATTTTTCTATATTAGAAACAAATATTAGGAGCAAAAATGTCTGTGTGGATGAAAAGACACTGGGACAATTAAATTATTGTAGAAAAAAATGGTGAATTACTTTTACACAAGAAATGTTGAAATGGTTTGTTTATTTTACTCTTTGATTAGGTTATAACAGTTTACATATTTTTAAGCTGGTTTCCCTTAGTTGAACATCTGAATCTGTGACAAAATAAAAACTATAGAATCTATGTAAAAGGAATTTGAAAAAATAAAGAAATAAAAAGACATTTCAAATTTGATCTTCAAATAACACATTTTTTAAATATGTTGTAATATTTTTTTTAAATAAAAAAAATCAACACCTGGGACATAAAAGTTCCCCAATTTAAAGAAATATCCTAATATGTATTTAAATAAAACGAAGAAACCTACCGTGATAAGGAATGGTGTGTACCGTGATAAGTAATTGTTGTTTATGTATTCATTTATACATTAAAGTTGATTGTCAAAAGCCCTAAGCTAGAGCATGATAAGTAATTATAGTGTTGGTTAATTAGCTAAAAACTCCAGATTTGCATCATACCTTGGCTTTATGCAAGTAGAAACATATATTTTCTTTTTCTACAGTTTCTGCCACCATTATCATGGCATTTGTCTCCTATTGCTGCTGACACACTAGGTTAGGAGCCCTGTTGTTATCTACAACATTAATAACCTCTTCTCTTAGCACATAGACACATAATGAAGTGTGTTTTCTCAGTCAGGTTACAACACATTGGTCCCCACGTCCCAATGCCACATATTATGAGAATTCCCAGTCAGGCTTCGTTACACTATCTTACCTCCCCCACCCTCTAATCCTGGGACCAGCAATTCCCAAAACTGCCTGTTAGCTACAATATCAATGCACAGTTTTTCATTGGCCCCTGGTGGCTCCGTCTTGTGTACGTGTACATCTGTACACACACATAGAGAGAGAGAGTGAGCAAGAGAGAAATTAAGGCGATTATGCGTGCTATACGAATATAACTTAGAAAGTAAAGATATATATAGAAAGTAGGGTTAAATGAGGTAAAAAAAAAAAATGCTTTCGTATCTACGTGTGCACTTGTGTTTGTTAATGTGGCCTTCGGGACAGCCTGGCCGTCTTGAGAGCCTCCAGGGGCTGATGGTAGCAGACTGCATGCTGTCTGTGTACGGTCTGTTCTCCAGTTGTGACAGGGAGAAATTCCTTATGAGTGCAATTAACCAGAGAAAGGGTGCAGCCAAGACAACGAAGTCAAAGATGTACCTTTAGAAAGGACAAGACATACCAAGAGTTTATAAAAGAAGATAAAATCTTAGGTTGGTGGGAATTAAGGTAGCTGAAGAAAAGACTACATGAGCTTGGACGAGAAGGATAGGTGGAGCCAGGTGTGGAGAGAACCAGGACGCAATTAACAAAGACACTTAAAATGCCCACTAATGAGAATACAACCAAATCTCAAGTGGGGAAGAGCGAGGGCGAACACTGCCCACTGGATTTGAGAGGTCGTCAAGGTGAACATCTTGGGAATACTTCCTCACCATCCACTAAGCCTCAAATATATATGATGTTCCATTACCTTCACAAATCACGTGCACTAAATGACCTCGTCTACCCACAATGCATCTCCGTCCAGATCCAGGGCTTCTTCCCATGACCTACTTCCCCCCCTCGTGTGGTGCATTGTTGTGTGTTTGCGGCTGCTGAATGCACCCTTCTTTTGTGGCTATTTGTGAGACCAGGGGGTTAAGACCCTTGTGTTCTCCCCAGTCTCCAAAACAGGCCTCTAAACAACCGCAGCAACAATAACAACAAAAAAAGCAAATGTTGATGGCAGCCGAACTAGGAAGCGGG